TGATGACTTACCCACGGTACATGCCACGTAAGTGCCAGCTGCTCTGCTTGTTACATGTATCATTTTCCCTTCAAATTGATGTGACTTTAAAGGAAGGGGACAGAGACTCAGGCAGTATTCCCTGTAACATTTAGCAAGGATCTAGAAATAGAAGTTCCATTTGGCCCAGTAATCCCATTACTGGATATATACCCAAAGGATTATAAATCACTCTATTATAAAGACACATGCCCAGGTATGTTCATAGCAAAGACCTGGAACCAACCCAAATGCCCATCAATGATAGACTGGACAAAGGAAATGTGGCACATGCACACCATGGAATACTATGCAGCCTTAAAAAATGACAAGTCCGTGTCCTTTGTAGAGACATGGATGAATCTAGAAACCATCATTCTCAGCAAACCGACACAAGAGCAGAAAACCAAACACATGTTTTCACTCATAGGCGGTGATGAACAATGAGAACACTTGGGCACAGGGAAGAGAACAACACTCACTGGTCGGGGGGAGAAGGGAAGGGGAGGGGAGGAACAGTGGGGGGGAGGGGAGGGGCAGTGGGGTGGAGGGGAGGGGAGGGACAGTGCAGGGAACGGGGAGGATGGGGAGAGATAACCCCAGGAGAAATGGAGAAATGCCTGATGTAGGCGGCCCAAGAGGATGGAGACAGCAAACCACCATGGTATATACCTATGCAACAATCCTGCAAGATGCAGGATGCAGGGTGTGCACAGGTACACCAGAGCCCAAATACAATTAAAAAACAAACAAAAAAACATTTAGCATCCATACGCTTCGTTCTCAAACTTGAGCATGCAACAGCGAGGGCTTGCTGCAGCACAGCTGTGCCCCTCCCAGAGCTTCTGGTTATACAGGTCTGGGGTGGGGCCTGAGAATGTGCATTTCTAACAAGTTCCCAGACGCAGCTGCTGGTCCAGGGACCACACTTTGAGAACTACTGGACTAACTTACCAAGGGAATGTATTAACTTCTCTTCCCAGGTCCACAAAGGGCATGGTTTAAAGGAAAGAACTTCCCAGCGCCATGCCCGACCTGCCTTCTTTCACGTCTTCTTCTGGTAGCCTAGAGTTCTTTGTCTAACTTCTGTGTGCACTAGAAAGGTCGACTGCCCACGTGAGCTCCCTTTGTTTAGAAAGTCTGAGAAAAGCTATGGGAGGACTGTGGGCCAGGCAGCCAATTCGATGTCAAAGTCAAAAATCAATCACTTCAGCCGAAGTTTGAAGGAACTCCTCTTGTGGGACAAAAACTTGGATGGGGCGGGAGTAACACCCAGATTAAAAGTCCCTCTGCGCCTCACCTGTGTAGACTCTGCTTCTGGATCCCCTTCCATGACATCGTGGGAGCTTCTCTCTCTCTCTCTCTCTCAATCTCAATCTCTCTCTCTCTTTCTCTCTGCCTAATAAATCGTTTTTCTGCAAAACTCTTTGGGTCCGATATTTACTTAAATGGGTCCACCGCACCGCCAGGGCCTCTTCCCCCATTCCTGGGGCAGGGGGTGCCGAGAACCTGAAACACCTGGTTACATTATTCCTCAGATATTATTGGCATACATCTAGAAATGAACACATTCAAGCACCTACAATGTGCCCACCGCTGTATTAGGAACGTTTGCATATTTCATTTTATTTTCACCACAAAGCAGCCAAACGGGCCTCCTTCTGTCCATTTTCCACCGAAGTTACCAATACTCAGAGAAGCTACATGACTCTCCTGAAGTCACGTGACTTGAACTCTGATCTCTGGGTGTCAATTTCAGTTGTCTACTTTTCCATTGCTTTTGGAGGCCAGTTTTGTGAAGGAAACAGTACCAGGGAACCCAAAGAGGAGGGAGGAGCCCTTGGGAGAAGGTGTCTGCCAGGTGATCGGAGGTCTGTACAAGTCTGATGTTGACTGCAGAGATAACAAAAACCCACTGAATTAGGAGGCCCAGAGGGGTTGCACCTTCGGCCACGGCTCCCCCAGCTACCCTACAGCTGCCCAGGCTGAGCTCTGGGGGTCCTCCTGTGGCTCTCTAGGGCCACAAGGAATGAGCCCTATGGAAATCCACCCCAGTGGAATGAGCTGGGCTGTCTCTCCCCCTCTCCTCCACTCCCCACTCTTTCTCCCACAGCCTGGAAAACAGGTGTTACCCATTAAGAGGGGACCAACGCCAATCAGAAGGAAACACTCGGCATTAAGCGCTTGACACATGCTACAATTTTGACAAATAAGGCACAAAAGCAGGAGGCACCAGGAGCCCCAGGGCTCAGGCCTAGCTGCTGGCATGAGTGAAGGAGGGCAGGAGTGGGGTCTTTGGCCAAGAGGAGCTGGGCATGGGGAAGGGGAGCTGGGAGGGGGCCCACCAGGTGCCATTCCTCACAGCCTTTCATCTGCCTGGGAGCCTGGAGATAGACACTGCACTAGCCAGGCCTGAGGTGGCAGAACTGTTGGCCTGGAGAGAGGATGCAGAGAGCTGGCGGACCCCAACCTCACCACTGCTTCTTAACGTCCAACCTCACCACCGCTTCTTAACCTCGCTGCAGGCTTCCGAGACTCTCCACAGCCTGCACACTAAGAGCCTCCAGGAGGCTGACTTGCATGTGATTTTTATGCTGGGTCTGAGGTCCCCGCCTCTTCTACCTTCCCCTTTGTCTCCAGTCCCTTTCTCTGCAGGGTTGAGTTCCAGCAGGTTGACAACTAACCTGGGAGAAAGGGGTGGCTTCCTCTCCTATGCTGGGGACTTGTGACCCTCCCCCTCCCCTCCATGTACAGGAAGCAGAGGGAAGAGGTGACACGACCACAGCTCTACAGGGTGGCTACTTCAGGGATTTTCAATGTCTATGAGGAAGGACACTCAGCTGTCACCTGGGGGTCTAGTTAAAATGCAGATGCCAACTCCTCAGGTATGGAGGGAGGTCCAGATCCAGCATTCCTAACAGGATCCCAAGTGACACTGCCCCCCAGGCTACACTTGAGTAGCAAGGGTGTCAGGCTGTGGGTGTGCTGAAGCCCCCTGGGGGGCTTCCATACTGTACTGGGTCCACCCCAGAGATTCCGATGGAATGGTCCGGCCTTGGACTTCGGGAGATTCTAACATGTGGCTTGGGCTCCGCTGTGGGACACCTGTATCCATCTGTAGGCCTAAGGGATTGTCGTGATGCTGACCTCCTGAGAGCTGAAGACCTGGGAAACTCATGATAGGAAAAACACCCACCGTTCGTTCAGCCATTAGACCACTAAAGGAGATGGCGCTCACTCCTCACACTCCACGCACACTCCAGGTCATTTGCCAGACAGCAGGAACAGGCCACTGGACTGTCAGTTCCAGGAGGAAGGGTCACAGTGGCTTTGTTCATTGATACATCTAGTGTGTTCAGCTTCTGCAACATGGTAGGGGTGGGAGGAGGGGATGATGGACGGGGGGACCTCGGGAATGGATGTTGGCCAGTGTGGGGGAGGGCACTCCATCCTCATCTCCAGGCTGCCAGATTTCCCGTCAGGCGGGGATCTTTTCTGTGATGAGAGAAGGGATTTGGGAGGACTTTTTCCCTGTGAAAAACATTGTCCCACCCTCGTTAATCAAGCTTTCTTCCTTGGCAGAGAGGATAGAGAGGAAGAGGAAACTTTCATTCCGCAGAAGGGCATCTGCCAATTTCCCACTTGGGGACGAGATTGAAATAGCTTTTTCAGATCCTCCAGTTAAGCTGACACATGTGGACCCTCCAATCCTCCACTGGGTTCCCTCCCAGGAGCAGTTATCTCGGCTCCAGCAGAACGGCTCTATCTCACCACAGCCTGCCAGCTGTCTCGCTTCACAATAGAGAGGCTCAGACCCCAAAGACAATTCTGGTGCAAACAGCATCAGAGAAGCAGGCACTGGAGTACTGGGGAGTGGAGGAAGCGGGGACAGCCAGGCCAGCTGGGCCACCCTTCACACGGTCAGCCGGCGCTTAGGAGCTGCGAGGTCTGGGGGGGGCACGTGGAGCTGCAGCCCGGTAATGGGGCCAGGGCTGAGAGTGATCTGAAGATGACACAGCTAGAAAAGCATCACTTTAAGGTGAGGAAGGTAAATGCCACTTCTGGGCCGGCACCGTTCCCCAGGCTGGGAATGAGATAATGAATTATTACCCAAGGAAATGAAACCGCTAATAAATTCAAAAGCAAAGCGAGGGGAGGTTAAACTCCATTTTTAAAAGGAGCTGATTTATAGAGTGCCTTCTCTCCTTGCCTCTGAGGGCACCAGCAGCTCCCCCTGGCCCTCCGTCTCTCTCCCACCTGCTGGCCCCTGACCCTCTGGACATACAGATCTAGCCCCCACTTCCAGCTCTCCCCCAGCCTCTGGCTGTTCTTTTTTCTCCAGTCCCCTCTTGAGCCACTCCCACCCCGAACAGGAATGTAAAGGCTTGAAGTGTGGTGAAATTTGGGCCAATTGGTTTCAGGAGCTCAGTCCCCAAGGAATGACTACAAGGAAATTCGTCTTCCTTAGGAGTCCATTTCAACCTTTGAGCCAACAAATTACAAGTAGACCAGCCCGGAATGGCAATCAGGTTTTGGAGCCTGGCGCTGGGCAGGTGCGGCTCGTGCTGTGAGCGACTAATTGATAGGGACTTTAAGCGGGAACCGGCCCTCTCCCCGTCTGGGGAAGCTCGCTAGCTACAACATTTTCCTTCTTGCTGTGTCTGCTCTAATCCCTTGCAAACTCCATTCCTGAAACCCTGGCCCCCTGGATCTTGGCTCCCCTCCTTTCCTGCCTAAAGCCATCAAGCCCCTGCTGTCTGACCTCATTGCCCGTTTCCGCGGTGACGGGCCTGTGATGTCACTGGTGGCGGCCTGTGAGCCTTCAGGTGGGTAGGATGAGAGCAGCAGGTGCCCAGGAAGAGGGGGAAGAACAAAGATCTTGTTTTTGTGCCATCATCCCTGATACATAATGAAAACCCGCGGTGGGGGTGGGGTGGGAATGGCGTGGGGAGATCTGAGTCTGTGGCCATCCCTCGCCATGCCTGCTCAGACATCGCCGGGCTCGGCTAGAGAAGGCAGAAAAAATTCCTCCAACCCCTTCCCCAGACACCTATGCAGGCCCTACACTCCTGCCTGAACAGCTTTTTTTTTGAAACGGAGTCTCGCTCTATCACTAGGCTGGAATGCAGTGGTGCGATCTCAGCTCACTGCAACCTCCACTTTCTGGGTTCAAGCAATTCTCCTGCCTTAGCCTCCTGAGTACCACACCAGGCTAATTTTTGTATTTTTAGTAGAGACGGGGTTTCACCGTGTTGGCCAGGCTGGTCTCAAACTCCTGAGTTTGTGATCTACCCGCCTCAGCCCTGCTAAGTGCTAGGATTCCAGGTGTGAGCCACCGAGACCGGCTGATTTTAAAAGCCATCAAGACATGAAGGGAAGTGTGTCAGAGTGTGCTGGACCCAGTTTCCCCAATGCCCCATTTTCCCTGGTCGGTCTTGCACTTTCTAAGAGGTATGACCTAGAGGCACACCCTGGTCAGCTCAGGCCCCACATGCCTGCAAAAATCAGGCTCCAGGGCTCCCTCATTCAGCATAGGCTCTGCAGGAAGTCGCAGTGCCAAGTGGCTCTCAGAACTAGCCTCACTAGCAACGTGGCTGCCATTTCCGTGACCGACAAAAGCAGCTCCCCGAGCCTCCCTCGGCATTTGTGGTTCCTTTTGTTCCAGCCAGGCACCAAGAAAAAAAAATGCAGCATCCGTTTGGAAACAAAGGCTCCAGCAGGCTCTCTCCAGCCTGGACAGCTCACTTTCATTTGAGTTTCAGGTAATTTTCTGTGCAGCCTGAATTTGTTAGACAAATTAGGCTCACTTGGACTTCAGGTGTCTCAATTACCTGGGTGATTTGCATGTTTATGAGTGAAGGGGACTGCATAGTAGCACAAAGCAAATTTGAAATCCTGACTCTGGAGGCCCTGGAGCCCCCACATTACAGCTTTACTTACCCTAACAGAAAGGAGGAAGGACAGAGAGCCCCCTAGCAAGCAAACCAGCAGATGTCACATAACCACAGCGCAGGTACCAGGGAGCATGACCCTCTCCCCAAGTCCATGAAGGCCTTAGTTCTCTTGGATCTGCCAGCAGAACAAAGGTAACTGCCTAAGAACAGCTTCCAAAGGTAGAAGAAGAAAGTGAGAAAATCTATATTATCGACCGTTCCTATCTAAGGAAAAGAGGAAAGAGGATTCCCATAGCCCAGCCGGGAGGTGAAGAGTTAATCCTATAATCTAGTCTGCCAGGGAGCAAGGCAAGGACTGGAGCTATTTTCAACCCAAAGTGTGCATGCAGAATGCTTGATGCTTGGGGGGAGGAGCTGGAAAGCCTGAGACCATTTGAAAGCATTAATTGAGTGCCCACAGTATATAGGGCCTATTCTCAGGCCTTGCTGGAATTCCAAAGGACAAGAGGGCTCTCTCCTATCTTCTATTAGAGCATGGACCACCTCCCCCCACTTGCAATTTCTTCTCTGTGCCCACTCTCCCTCCCCAGGGCCACAGCTCCCTGCTGGGCTCCGTGAAGTACCTACAAATACCTGATGACCTTTTTAGAGTTGGCCCAATTACTCAACTGAAACAGCTTAAGCATTGCAAAGTCACACGTGCAGACTCTGCTAGCTGTCATAAAGCGCTGGGTCCTGGCTGTATATCGGACCCACCTGGAGAAGGTTTTAACTGATTGGAGCCTGAGACCCACCCCCAGAGATTATGATTTAATTGGTATTGGATGCAGTGGCAGTTTTTAAAAGCTCAGGTGATTTAAACACGCCACAGAGTCTAGGAGCTGCTGAGATGGAGGATTTGGGATTTCTGAATTGTTTAATGGTGAGTTGTTGGGCTGGAATTGATTGAGTTTGATGCGATCAAGACAGGCTTAGATTCTATATTCCAGGTGGGCTGCAGTCTTGACCAAAATAGTATGGAAGGTTTTCATATGTGTGTGATTGCAACGGATCCACTCGAGAGTTGGTAGGAGTGTAGATTTGCGTGGAGTAAATTATTCACTAAACTGGCATTAGTTGAATGGAGAGGGGGCAGGAAGAAGTAAATACTATTTCTTATCTGTTGTATGGCAAGAGGAAGTAATCAATATTTCTTATCTGTTGTGTGCCAGGAACTGTGCTTGGAAGATGATATTTCATTTATTCTTTCCAACCACATGGCAAATGCACATTATTCCTATTTTACAGATGAGGAAACTGAGACTCAGAAAGGATGAGTGTAATTTTGCCTGAGATTATACAATTTTTACCTGCTTATCTTCCAAATGGAAGAGAAATGATCTTTCCTTGGGTGCTAATGCTCTCGGCCTGCATGACCCTTCATTTGTGACCATTCCTCTTTGAGATCAGAACTTTCAAAAGACTGATCATAGTCACAGAGTCTCATTCTCAATATTTGTAGAAGGCCTTTCCTAACACAATTCTTAGAAACCCACTAAGTTACTAGGTAGGTTTATTCTGAAAGGATGGCTTCCTTTCAGTGCTAATTAGCTTCTCTTCCAATGGATGAGAGGTTTACATGCAATGGTGATTTCTAGTAGCAGGTTCAAATAATAATCAGCTGTTAATTATTAAAAATTTTTAAACATAATGACTTTTTATGTGCCAGGAACTTTTAAAGGTGTTTTATAAAGTATCCTAAGTTTACTCAATGACCCTAAAGGTGAAGTATTTTCACTCAAAGAAGCTGAGATTTCAAGGTTAAATGTCTTGTATGTATAGCTAGTAAGTGGCAGAGCTGGAACCCAAGGTCACATCTGTCCCAGCCCAAAGCCAGACCTTTCTAATAATCAACTACCCCCCTTTTAAAACAGCTTTATTGAGATATAATACACATACTATAGAATTCACCCATGTAAAATGTACCATTCAATGGGTTTAGTAAATCTTCAGATACGTGCATCTATCGTCACAGTCAATTTTAGAACATTTCATCACGCTCAAAAGAAACCCTGTAGACTTGAGTTATCACCCTCTATCACTCCTCCTCCCCAGCCCCAACCAACTGCCTTTTATAAAGTCTCTTTCTAAAAAAGCCAAACCTTTTTCTTCTCTCTATATTAAATATGGCAGTATATTCATATTCATTTATAAATGGGTTGCCTTTCCAGGTTACTGAGAGGTTGAGTTGCCAAAAAAGACCTGTGCCTTCCCTCTGATATTCCATAGGGTTGGTTCTTCTCTCCTCTTTCTGCCCAAAAACCACTGAGAAGGGCCTCAGAAGAGCCAAGGGCAGCCCTAAGTGGCTTTTGGGAGGTGATTGTGGATGTGGGTTGATGATGAAAGGGTTGGGGATCCCAGGAAACTTCTTCCAGCCTGGACTCAAGCCTTCATCTCATGAACAGAAAAGAGACCTCTCCATCCCCTTTCAGACACAGCCATTCTTCCTGGAGAAGCCCCTCATTCTTCCTTCTACAGAGGCACCTTAGGGAGAGTTGACTTTGCCCAAGGAAGGCTTTGCCAGAGTGGCCTCGGGTCAGCCAGACTTGGTGAGGAGTTTGGTGTGCAGATGTTTTCACTTGGTTCACCCCAGAAGCTGATCCTGAAGGACACAGGTGCTTAGAGTTGTGGTCAGGTGGTACAAGGATCACTGGTGGAGCGTGGTGGGAAGGGCACTGGGAAGGGACACAAGAAAGGGAAGGTGGCCACTGAAGGGCGGACTCCTGCACCCACTGTCCCAGCAGGAAACCGGTGCTTACTTTCCAAGTCAACTCTAGAAAACACTGTAAAACACCCAGCTCAGAGTTACCCCTCCCCCTGTCCAGGGATGTGTAAAACGCCAACTCCTAGCAGGCTCTGGTAGCAGCTCCTCCAGGGGGTACAAATTCCTCATCTGTCCTGGCGAGCTCCACACATGTGGGTGGAGCAGCCTCTGCAGTTTTGGAAAAAGCTCTCAGGCAGAGAAACAGACACCAGTAGTGGGAGGTTGGCTGGAGAGCACAAAATGGTCAGGCCTGGGAAATGTGGGAGGGAAACAACCAGAGCATCTGCAACAGCCTGGCCCCATCCGAACTCCTGCACGTGCAGGTGTACACACACACACACACACACACACACACACACACACAGTGGGATGGAAACATGGCTTCAGTAGAGCACCTTCCTTCACCCCTGTGCTCCCCTCTTGCTCTCTGTCCATGGTCAGGGTGCTCATTTCCATGGTAATGAAGTTCATTAAGTGACGTTTATTAGGAACCAACTAGAAAAGGTCTGTCTTTTCCACCGAAGCTGAAGAATTTCCCACTAAGCTTCATGAAGAGCTTGAAACCGCAGAAGAGATCCCTTGGGGATGGGGGCTGCTCCCCAAGACAGAAGCAGTAAGCTCCACCCACCCCTCTGGGGACACACGGGAGGCCTTGGATGTACAAAGCTTGTTAGACAGCTGGCTTTCTTTTGAGGTGCAGCCTGACCAGCCTCCCCTGCGCAGGCCCTAGAGGCTCAGTGGCTGGAGGGCAGCCTGAAGTGCTGTCACGCTCGGGGCTCTGAGTTGGGAAGGCCAATCACCTTCCTTGGTTCAGCCTTCCGAAAGCTGAGAGCATCTGAGGCTCCTCTCTTTCAGGAATGGAATGGAACTTTAGAGTTCTGGGCAGCCCAAGGCTATATCTACTTCATTGCTAGTTGGCAGAATATCCACTCATTCATTTCTTCACTCATTCATTCATTCATTCATTCATGATCTATGAAACGGGGATTATAGCAGTAATGAGAGTACAATAATTGGAAGATGCAAACCCTTCAGCTTCCTTCAGAGGCTTAAGAGCACGCATGAGTCTAAGGTGGTCTAGAATCCCTGGCGCACCTTCTCAGCAGCCCCAGCCTTCGGCTGCAGCTCCGTGCACATGTAGGATCATGTTTGGCTAGGCCAGTGGGCTGTAAACACCAGTAGGAGAGGACACAGGTCTTATTCACCACCACATCCTCATAACCTAGCATTGTCCTTGACACACGGGAGGTAATAAATACCTGTGAATGAATGGATGGATATGTGCCTTTGAGTACAAGGCTAATTCTTGTACATATTTTAAATGCATCCCTATATGTGTCTGGGTATCAGGACACATGCTTCTGTATGTTTATGTCCTGGCTTTTGTATGGTTATATGAGTGTGTGCATCTACGTGTCATGTGTACATGCGAAAGAGAGTTCTTAATAGACATGGGCTTTCTTTCACAATATTTCAAGAGAATGAACATTTTTGCTTCCTGGTATCTGATTTTGTAAGTCCAATCTGCATTTTCCACACATATACAGCTCTCCAGACTTTCAAATATTTATACTCCTATATTTAAAATCTGTGAAATTTCTCTCTCTCACCCCTTACGTGCTTGTGCTCTCTCTTCTCTCTCTTCTCTTTCTCTCTCTGCCCTCAGCCCTCCCCTCCACCTTCTTTCCTCTTTGTCCCTAGATATAGGCATATATATGGATGAAGAAATTCTCAAACTGAGCCACACTTTTCACTTTCAAGTTAGAGACACAGAGGGACACACGGGAGCCACCAACCCAGCCTATGACAAATCCCAAATGATAAGCCCAGTCAGGGAGGGGAGCAGCAGCTCTGGGGCCTGTGCCCCAAACCTCTGTGCCCCCTGAAGAGAGAACCTGCCCCTGGGAGAAATTTCCTCCATCTGCAGCAGAGCTTGGAAGGAGGAGGAACTAATTGATGTTTGCCCAGGGCTTCAAAGAGAGGCACTGAGTAAACATCAGCATCACCTGGGCTTAGGTGGCTTAGGGTCTTACTGGGAGGTTATAATGTCTTATGATGCTAAGAGAAGAGTAATCCCCCCAGGATTTTTCAACCTGAGATAGTCTGTGGACCTTCTCCATCCCACACCCTATGGCCAAACCATGAACCACCCACCTCTCAGCAACCAGTAAAAAAGACCTCATGCCCCTCCATGCTTTTTATTTAGTTAGTTAGTTTTGAGATGGAGTCTTGCTCTATTGCCCAGCCTGGAGTGCAGTGGTACAATCTCAGCTCACTGCAACCTCTGCCTTCTGGGTTCCAGTGATTCTCCTGCCTCACCCTCCCTTGTAGCTGGGACTACAGGCATATGCCACTATGCTTGCCTAATTTTTGTATTTTTTTCATAGAGACAGGGTTTCACCATATTGGCCAGGCTGGTCTCAAACTCCTGACCTTTTGATCCACCCACTTCAGCCTCCCAAAGTGCTGGGATTACAGGCGTGAGCCACCATACCCAGCCCACGCTTTTCTTCTTTTGAGACAGGGTCTTGCTCTGTTACCCAGGCTGGAGTGCAATGGTGCCATCATAGCTCACTGCAGCCTCTACCTCCCGGGCTCAAACAATCCTTCCACCTCAGCCTCCCAAGAGGCTGGGACTACAGGTGCACACCATCATGCTAAGCTAATTTTTGTATTTTTTGTAGAGATGGGGTTTTGCCATGTTGGCCAGGCTGGTCTTGAACTCCTGGGCTCACACGATCCACCCACCTCAGACTCCTAAAGTCTTGGGATTACAGGTGCGAGCTACCGCACCCAGCCCCGCTCTGTGTTTCTGCAGGCACGATTCCCTCTGCCCCAAATGTTCCCACTCTGCGTGTCTACCTGCTCATCTTCCATGATTCAGCTTAAATATCCTTTCCTTTGAGCTCCCAGACTGAGACAGAGTCCCAAATTCTAAGCTCTGAGAGAAGCCTGCACCAAACTTCATGGCTATGGGAGAAGTTTCGCTATGGATGACCTCTTTAGGTGTTGGCTGCCCTGCTGAGGGTATAGAAGGTGCAAAGTGCTGTTTTGATCTTTGTAACCAGAGCCCTTGCACATAGTTGAACTGAAATGAACTTAGGGACCAAAAGGAGTGAGCCAAGGGTGTAGCTGATGATGGCGGGAAGACAGGCAGTGTGCTAATGAGGCCCGCCGATAAGTGATTCATAATATTCTCAGGCTTCTCATAACCTCTGTGAGGATGGGATTATTCCCATTGCACACATGACAAAACTGAGGCTCAGAGGTCCCTGCAATGCAAGACAGAGTGGAGAGTCAACCCAAGTATGTCTGACTCCAGCGCTAGGGCCCTTGGCCCCAGTGCGGCATGTGTGAAACCACAGCATATGCATCTATTATTAATAAAAGAAGAAACAGCCGGGTGCGGTGGCTCACGCCTGTAATCCCAACACTTTGGGAGGCCAAGGCGGGTGGATCACGAGGTCAACAGATCGAGACCATCCTGGTCAACGTGGTGAAACACCGTCTCTACTAAAAATACAAAAAATTAGCTGGGCATGGTGGTGTGTGGCCTGTAATCCCAGCTACTCAGCAGGCTGAGGCAGGAGAATTGCCTGAACCCAGGAGGTCCCAGGTTGCGGTTAGCCGAGATTGCGCCATTGCACTCCAGCCTGGGTAACAAGAGCGAAACTCCGTCTCAAAAATAAATAAATAAATAAATAAATAAAAGAACAAATAAGTCAGTGAACAAATTCCCATCCATTAGTTGAGTCAAGACTTGAGGATTTGGAGACTAGGCAACGCTTGGGAGAAAGGTCTGCTGGGACCCCTCCCTCGGTCTTCCCTTTCTGCCCCCTGCGATGCCCACTTCATCTGTCCCTGCCTGCCTTCTGGCCTGTCCCTGCAGTGTGAGTGCTGGACAGAGGGCTGTTCTGGTGTCCTGACATGCTAGAGTGATTCAGATTTCCATAGCAAGCATAACGCCTTCTCCCCATGTGTGGCTTCCTCGTTCCCAACCTGACCAGGAACTTCCTAAGGGAAGTGACCAAATTCTCTGCTTCACAACCCTCACGGTGGAGCAGGGAGATGGTAAGTGACTGTGGTTGGGTGCTACCTCCTGTCAGGCCCAATGTGTGTAGGGGGGTCCTTTCATTAGTTATTTTAAGGATTTGGGCTCTTTGAGGTGTGTTATCCCCATTTTACAATAGGAGAGCCCCGAGGCTCACAGAAATTAGTTTGCTTGTCCAAGATAACCAATTCATATAATGAACCTTAGAAAAGCTTTCCACCTTTCTTGGGATGAATATTTCAAGCTAGGAAAGAAGTAGTCATTTGCTGTCTTTTTAATCTGGAAGGAACTCATTGGTGTTTGCCCAGGGCTTCAGAGACAGGCACAGGTGGGTTTCTGGAACCTGGGGGTCTTATTTCTGAAAAGTTATGTCTTTACTTACAAACCAGTAAGCAGAGGCATCTCTTGCTGTGGTTTTTCCTAGCTGAGACACAAAAACGTGTGGACCTCGGTATCCTGCACTTTGTATCTGAGCCATGACTCACTGGCCAGGGAAGATCTACTGAGACCAGTATCAATAATGGAACGCAATTGATTAGAACCTTGAGAAGCCCTAAATGAAGTGAGAAACTTTTGACTTCCAGTGTAAAATCCAGATGCTCAGGTAATCATTCAAAATACCACGGTGAGGGGGCGGCCTCAAGGGCATGACCTCAGCTCTTCCTTCCTATCAGGGGATCATGATTGAGCATGGCCAATATTGTCAATTCCACATTTGGGCCCTAACGGAGCTGGCCATTCCAGAGTCAGGTGTAGCAAAACAAAAACACACCCCCCAAAACGCAACATTCTGAAGAATGGGACATGGACAGGGCAGTGAGGAGGAAGCCACCAGGATACCTCAGCCCTGGGTTCAAACTCCACCTTGCTCTCTGCCTTTCTCTACCACACACTGGGCCCTGAGGGTTGACCTGAATGGACCACAGCCCTGGGCTCTCAAGCTCTGTGGCTTCCAGCTGTGTTTGCCCAATTAAAGCCCTGGGTAGAGGTCAGGAGGAGGGAGGAGATGAGCCCGGACAGGCATTTCTCTGGCCACCACCTGGCTGGTGTCATCTCAGGGTGGCTAGCTTCCACTACCCAAGGCTGCTGCTTCTGTTGTGACAGCCTCTTGGATGTGACTTCCCCTCCCCACCCTGGGTTGGGGTTACTGTTCCCTTTTCTTGTCCTCTCAGGCTTTGGGTGGTAACAGCTCAACTGCTCCTATCCCTGAGTGACCCTCCTTCCATTCGGCCCTCCCCTTTGGAATCTGTCCCTTTGTAAATAAACCCACCCCAAATTGTCTAATTTAAATGTGTTCCCAACTTGGACCATGACTAATAAATACCAGGATAGTTCAGGGGACATTGTCACCCTGAATTTGTAGACTTTGTGCCAGCCGTAGCATTGCTGCGGATGTGGGAGTTCTGTCGCTACTGCATTTAAAAGCGTCTACTGAGCTCCCTCCCTGAAACTCTGAGTCTAATAGACTGCTGGGCACACTGTAAGCCAGGGTTTCTCAAACCGGTAACTGTCCCTGAGGGGCAGGAGGGGTCTTGTTGGATCCTTCACCACTTGGACTTCTTTCTCCTCTTCGTGAGAAATCTCTGAGAAGAGCCTCTGATCGTCTGGGGCTTTTACTGACCCACGATGACTCCTGACTTCATGGAAGGAGTTGGTTATTGGCCAAGCGTTACTAGCTTAACATGGGCTGCCTTCTCATCTTCTGCACATCAGACGTGTCACGATTAGTCACCCTGCAAATCTAGTGCTAATTCTGAGTTATGGGAAATGAGACTGTTCTGGCCTCTTTCTTCTGAATGCACAGCTTAATGACTTGAAATTCCTCTTGGATTATCCAGAGCGCCTTCTTTTTATAGAAAACAGAAAGAAACCTCAGCAGCTTCTTCTTTGTTATGTTGTCACTTTATTATCACAGAGCAGCGGTGGACTCACCAGATCGCAGCCTGTGTTCCTTCACATCTGTGACGGTGACTGACTTTAGCACAGCTACTCTAAGGCCGGGCGCCGTGGCTCATACCTGTAATCCCAGCACTTTGGGAGGCCGAGGTGGGTGGATTGCTTGAGCCCAGGAGTTGAAGGCCAGCCCGAGCAACGTGGTGAAACCCTGTCTCTATGGAAAATATAAAAATCAGCCTGGCATGGTGACGGGTGCCTGTAATACCAACTACCAGGGTGGGGCTGGGGCAGGAGAATGGCTTGAGCCCAGGAGGTGGAGCTTACAGTGACCCAAGATCACACTCCTGCATTCCAGCCTGGGCAACAGGAATAAAACCCATCTCAAAAAAAAAAAAAAAAAGAAAAACTACTCGGAAACAAAGTGACGGTTTTGGGTGGATATACCTAACACGTACCCAACATAATGGGTTCTGATTCCAGCAGTTCTAGATCACGAGTTAATGTCTTTCGTTATATGAGGATGAATGTCACTGTAGGATTAGCAGCTTCATCCCCAAAAATCAGGTGCACCGTGATTGTCACTGGAGATTTCTGTCTGATCACAGGGAACCCCTGGTAACTAACTCCTGCTTTGAAAAATAGCAATACCCAAATCATCGTGTAAAGCCTTGGGACTTTGAGCGTTTCCCTGCTAGGGAAGAGCTGATTGTTTAATCAGATCAGGGCAGGTTTTGCTGCAGTAACAGACAATCAGTAGTCAGTTACCCATGTGACCAATAGGCTCAGTGCTCACCCCCGGGCCCTGTTACCACCCCAACTCCAGAAGCCATGCCACCAGAGCCCCTGTATTGTGGATGGGACACAGTCCTTCTGCAGCAGAGGGAGGAAACATCATGACATGGCACATGACATGCCAGCTCTTATGAAAGCCTCTGCCGCTAAAGGACATGCCTCAGTTCTCTTCATGTTTCATTGGCCAAGGCAAGTCATGGCACAGGCTAACAGGGTAGACAGGTGGTCCCACTGAGAGACCAGACGTATGTGATTGGCCCCAGTGACCACCCCACTGATAGTTTCTTAAGAAAAAGTCTGGCCCTGCTTCTGTAGAGGCAGAGTACTGTATGATTGTCTACTCATGTGACAGTTTTGATTGGGATCCTTACTTGCAAAAGGACACTGGGTGGTTTGCTAGGGCTGCTGAAACCAGGTACCATAAAGCAGGCGACTTAACAGAAAGGTATTCTCTCACCACCCTGCAGGCCAGACGTCCAAAGTCAAGGTATAGGCAGGGCTGCACTCCCTCAAAGCCACCAGGGGAAGGGCCTTCCTTGCCTCTTCTAGCGTCTGGTGGCCCCAGGTTACCCTTGCCTTGTGGAGACCTCGCTCTAGTCTCTGACTCAGTCTTCACATGACCTCCTTCTTTCTTTTTCTTTTTCTTTTATGTTTCGAAATGGAGTCTTACTCTGTCGCCCAGGCTGGAGTGCAGTGGTGTGATCTCAGCTCACTGCAACAACCTCCGCCTCCCGGGTTCAAGCAATTCTCCTGCCTCAGCCTCCTGAGTATCTGGGATTACAGGCGGGCACCGCCATACCCTACTAATTTTTGTATTTTTAGTAGAGATGGGGTTTTACCATGTTGGTCAGGCTGGTCTCGAACTCCTGATCTCGTGATCTGCCTGCCTCAACCTTGCAAAGTGCTGGGATTAGAGGCACTGCGCCCAGCCACCTCCTTTCTCTGTATTGTTCTAAGGACGCCGATCCCTGGATCAGGGCTGCTCAACTCCAGTATGCCCTGATTTTAACTTGATCACATCTGCAAAGATGCTGTTTCCCACCCAACAAGGTCATATTCACAGGTGCCAGGGGCAAGGATTTCCACATAGCTCTCTGGGGACCCTTCATCCCAGAATAGGTGTTTCACATCTACTCAATTGGTTTTCTCTAAACACTATTATATGGTTTGGTTTTGCTTTGCTTTGTTCCTGGCGGGCTGTTCAAAGTATCTGAAAGGCCTTTAGCAACACGAGACCTCCACACTGCAGTCCCCTCACCCCTCAGAAAACAGACCCATGAACTTCTGCTGCCTGAGTCGTATCAAGAGCTGGGCTGGGAACCACCGCAGCCCCAGAGGCTCACTGCAGGAGTCCAGTGCACGGCTCATCCCTGGCTTAAGCATTTGGGAGCTTTTGTTTTTGCTTCCTTTTTAACTGTTGTTGTTGGAGCTGAGAAAGCCCTTCTTCAAATGAGGTCTTAAGGATTCCCTAGCAGTCCCAGTATACAAGCCCAGTAAAAGCCAAGCTTCCCTAGTTGATGTGGGTGTCGTCCCCTGTGGGAGGAAATTCAAAGCACCTTCTGGTTTCTCAGTCTTCCACTCCACGGCAGAGTCGCAGTGTTTGTGAGTGTGGCTCACTGGCCATTTCTCCCTTTTCTGTGGCCAGGACTGGGAGGCCAGGGCCTGCCCTCACCTCCTCCTCTCTGTCAGCACCAGGCTGTGGATGTGGGAGCTCCTGCTCTCAGCCTGCTGTCTCCTCGCTGGTTCCTGATGCTTCTAAGTGTGTGGAGACCTGACCTCTCTCTCGTCCCAGCACAGAGTGCAGATCTGAGACTCTAGTCCTGGAGGAAGAAGAAAGAATGAGTTGGTCCAGTCAAACTGTGGCCTGCACTGGGATCGGTGTAGACTTCATTGTCTGGCTTCCTCCTGCCTGGGCATGGTCTTTTTTTTTTTTTTGAGACAGAGTTTCACTCTTCTTGCCCAGGCTGGAGTGCAATGGTGCAATCTCAGATCACTGCAACCTCTGCCTCCTAGGTTCAAGTGATTCTCCTGCCTCAGCCTCCTGAGTAGCTGGGATTACAGGCATGAGCCACCACACCCAGCTAATTTTGTATTTTTAATAGAGACAGGGTTTTCCATGTTGGCCAGGCTGGTTTGGAACTCCCCACCTCAGGTGATCCACCCGCCTCGCCCTCCCACAGTGCTGGGATTACAAGTATGAGCCACCACACCTGGCCCATGGTCTTCTTTATGCATCTCCTCCCTTGGGGGCCTCCTGCATGGGGCAACAGAGGACCCAGGCATTTGTGATTTGTCCTGGCCTCAAATGTCATCTGGTCACATCACAGCATCTCCAAGACTTCTCAGGGCCCAGATAGAGAGTACCAAGGCCACTCAGTAGCTCCCTTTTTTCACTGGAGCAGCTCCCAGGATTGCTGGCAGGTTCCCGGGGGCTTTGCAGAACAATGTAAGAATCCCCGGTGGAGATCAGTGTTTTTCAACATGAGCTGTGGATCAGAAATGGCTGTGGAGTGTTGGAAATATGCAGAGGCTGAATTCTCACCTGTACCCTGCAGCACAAGCCACGGGGGGAAAGGCCCCAGTGTCTGGATTCCAGGTGACTCTGATGTCAGGCAGGGTTGAGAACCACTGACCCAGACATTCTGGTCTTTATCCCTGGATTAGATCAGATCATTTCCAGGCCTTGCAACACCTGCTGCTGTGTTTACTCTAGAAACGATGGAGCTCTGGTGTCTCTCACTATTTTAATCTGTGTCTACCGCATGAAGATCCATCCAATAAAAGCTTTATTTTCTTAGAAAATGAGAATTTTTGTGAATGACCATGTTTGTCTTTTGTATTGGCTGCTTGGACCCACAGACTTACATGTGCGATTTAATTTTAGCAATGACAGGTCCTGAGGCTCCAAGAGCTGCAGATATAGCCTTTGCCGCTGACCTTAGGTTCCTCTCTTTTCCTCGTTCTTAATCTTTTATTATACTTCACTGCTTCATGGAATTACAAATCAGTACCAGGAATAGTTTAGGCAATAAAGTGGCATTTAAATATACAAAGAACAGGCCAGGTGTGGTGGCTAAGGCCTGTAATTCCAGCACTTTGGAAGGCTGAGGTCGGTGGATCACTTGAGATCAGACATTCGAGATCAGCCTGGCCAACATGTGGAAACCCTGTCTCTGCTAAAAATACAAAAATTAGCCAGGCGTTGTGGTGGGCTCTGGTAATATTAATCCCAGCTGCTCAGAGACTGAGGCAGGAGAATTGCTTTAATTTGGGAGGCAAAGTTTGCAGTGAGCCAAGATGGAGCCATTGCACTCTAGCCTGGACAACAGAGTAAGACTCTGTCTCAAAAAAAAAATTTTTGAAACACAAAACAGAAGTGGTGAGTCTGATGATGATGATGAGGCTTGTGTCTGTAGCCACAGGACTCCAAGTACAGTTAAAGAGAACTCCTCTAGCTTTAGATTTCCTCATATGTGTCACCTCCTCCAGGAAGCCTTTTGTGATCATTTGAACCACATGAATCACCTCATAAGTGATCCTAACTCTTGGTATCCATTAAAATGACTCCTTCAGCCCCAGTCTTCCTCACCAGACTATAATTTTGACTCAAGCAAAAAGCAAGCCTGTCTTTCTTCTGGGTGTAACCCTAGTGCCCAGCACACGGCTTGTTGCAGAATAACCATCTGATAAATATGTATGGGATAAGCAAATAGAAATAGCTGCAAACTCTACTGCCGGGTGAAATATACAAGAAATAAATATAAAGGCTGTGTGATAAGAAAGTGACTCACAGAGCAAGGAGAGAGAAGGAAAAAGAAAGGCAGGTGGGAGGGAAGAAAGGAGCAGCTGGTTGAAAAGAAGACAGAATGGGAGCTGGCAGAGTCTGAGCAGCTATTTACCCAGATGCCAGCGAGAGCCTCTACAGACTGTGTCCCATTTTATCTTCACAACACTCTCAGAAGGCGAGCTGGCTACTCCCACTTTACAGATGAGGAGACTGAAGCTTGAGGCATCTACGCTGCCTGAAATTCAGAAAACCCTGGAGTAACTGAGTCAGATTGGAATCTGAGGGTTTGTGGCTTCAAAGCTGGGAGGCTGTCCCCTGCAGGACAAATATCAGGATCCCAAAGTGGCCGCACCTACTACTCAGCCCAAGAGGATCCCTTCCTCCTGCCCCACAAACAGGGTTCTGTTTGCAGTGTCTGTTTCTATGGCTGATTGGGTGAGCAGAAAAGGAGATGAGTAGGCTTCAACTTTGGCACCCATATTTAGTGAGAAGAACGGAGCACCCAGATTATAACTGAGGGCTGACTGGGGGGCTGAATAAGGAGGAGACACCTCCCATTTCATCATGGCTGTGAGCTGGGGAGGTGGTAGGTGTTGGGGGAGGGCAGCTGCTGCTCCCATCCCTTCCCTCCCATCCTCCATCCACACCTCCTCCCAGAACTGCCTGCAGAGGAGCCAGCCAGGCAGGGCTTGAGGATGTCAGGCCAGGAATGGCCAGGGGCCCAGAGGAGTGGGCACCAGCTGGGGCCCTGCTTCAGCCACGCAGCCAGACCTGTGCACACCAGGGCCAGCAGTGGCCCTTTTTCCAAGCTGCAGCAGCTGCTGGGCCAGAGGCTGTCCCTGTGGATCCTTGCCACCTGCTATTCCTAGAATTCATGGGTGGGAGGAAGCCTCATCTAGACACCCCAGCCCAAGGAGAAGGGTAGCGCCAATGCGTGTCCCTGGGACAAAAGGAATTTAGTTGTCCTTATCTGTGTCCTTTCATTTGGGGACTCTGGGGACCTGGCGAAGATCCATGTGCTCCAAAGCCTTAGCTTCCACTCTAGCCGTCGGTCATCCAGAGCTTAATTCCTTATGTGAAAACAAAAATGCTAGCAAGAGAATAGCAGCCTTGGGGAAGCTGCCCAGAATAGGAAGGATTTAAACCCCAGAAAGCACGGAGCATTTCCAATCACTATCCTGAGTCAATTGGTGCAGAATCCTCTTTCAAGCTTTGAATCAACACTGTGCACCTAGCACTGTTGACTCAGGAGGGTCCAAGGGTTGACCAGGGGAGAGAGAGCTGAGCGTGGCTTGGGATCGGAGCTCTCCTACCCTGCTTTCTGGAGCTCTTCCAAACTGGACCTGACTCAGGCTCTGCAGCAAATATTCTTGTTTTTGCTGATTTCTCTACATGTGAAGAATCTGAGTGGTGTGGACCCCACCCATTTAGGTGGATGACTGGACTTACAGTCCTCCTGGACCCTTGTCAACTATGATTCAGCCATTCTTCCTACCCCGAAGGGAGCAGAGCAACAAATGATATACTGCAGTTTTTGCCTGATAGATGCAATTTACACGTTAGCAAAAGCTTCCCAACAGGAAGGGCTGACATGGACGACGGTGAACTGCATTCCCTGGGCCTGGCACAGTGGCTCGTGCCTGTAATCTCAATGCTTTTGGAGGCCGAGGCAGGAGAATCACTTGAGCCCAGGAGTTCCAGAACAGCCTGAGCAACATAGCAAGACCCCATCTCTACCAAAAAAAAAAAAAAAAAAGGAGCATTCTACCTAGTCTCAAGAGGTGTTTAAATTCTGAAGAATTTATCTTCACTTTGTGCAAAGAATGGGACCAGGGGTATCCATGGTTCTTCTGGACCCTGGGATTGTCTAGTAACTTCATCTTTAGCTAAAATCTCAGCAAAATGTGGAGCAATGGCTACTCCTGAGCAGTTTCCTCTTGGTTCCCTGGGATCATGGAACAGAGGTATGGCTTGGTCAGAAATATTGTCCCTTCCAGAGATATTGTCAGTAGGAGAGAGAGAGAGAGACAGAGAGAGAGAGAGGAGAGAGGATAGGGCTTCAGGTAGTCATTTCTATGGAGCCAGAGTCACATGTCCCTGTTCAATCCCACACAAGAAGGCTCAGCTATAATCACCAACCTACTTGCTTCCCTGCAAGGTAACCATGTCACTTCCAGTTCCTCCTAGAGGATTCAACATCACTGCTCATCCCCTCAGACCAATCAAGAGAATTGGTCTTGAAGTCATCCTGAGCTGTGGCCATTCTCTGGAACCCTGCCCTTCCTGCTTCACGTGGACTGGATGAGTGTCTAGGGGGACAGCTGTTTCCAGACACCTGGTTTGTCTTCAGAATCTGAAACCTTAAAGGCCGTCTGGTCTAATCATCCAATGCATGGTGAGGCCCCTTCTGGATTGCCCGTGTCTCCAGCATCCTGGTATGTGCCTATATATTTCCAGGGAGATCCAGGAAGATTCATGTGGTCTCTGCTCCAGGGGAGTCTATAGCCTGGTCAGGGGACAGATGGATCTTCCATCAACTCAAGAACTAAGGCTCAAATAAAAAAAAAAAAAAAAGATTGCAAGGCGTGGTGACTCATGCCTGTAATCTCAGCACTTTCGGGGGCTGAAGCAAGCAGATCATCTGGGCTCAGGAGTTCAAGAGCAGCCTGGGCAATATGGTGAAACTCTATCTCTACCAGAAATACAAAAAATTAACCAGGTGTGGTGGTGTGCGCCTGTGGTCCCAACTACTTGGGGGTGCTGAGATGAGAGGATCACTTGAACCTGGGAGGCGGATGTTGCAGTGAGCTGAGATTGTGCCACTGCACTCCAACCTGGATGATAGACTGAGACCCCATATCAAAAAAAAAGTCTAAGGGGATCTGAAAAGGCTCTATACTGTATGTATCCTACTGTCTGACACTCTGGACAAGGCAAAACCATGAAGACGGTGAAAAGGTCAGTGGTTTTGGAGTGGGGAGGAGGGATGGATAGGTTGAGCACAGAGGATTTTTAGGGCAGTGAAGCTCTCCCACATGGTACTGTCATGGTGGATACGTGCCACACCTTTTTCCAGAACCATAGAATGTACAATGCCAAGCGTGAGCCCTAAATGTGAACTGTGGACTTTATTTTATAATAATGCATCAACACTGGCTCATTCCTTGGAACCAACGTACCACACTAGTGCACAGCGCTAATAACAGGAAGTGCTGGAGTGTACCTGAGAGGGTATGCGGGAACTCTGTGTGCCTTCCATTCAATTCTTCTACAAACCTAAGACTGCTTAAATAATGAAGTCTGTTAATGTTTTCTGAAGTGCAGGATGAAGAAATAAAGAGAGGGTGAAGTCATTCTGGGAAGTTTCTTTGAAAGGGGTGAGTCATAAAGAGGAGGGGGGAGCAGGTGAGGAGGAGGAAGATTAGTGACTTCAGGGATGAGCAAACACTTCATGATTTCCTGAAGTCTTTTGTCCCCACTCAAAGCCCAAATCTGCCTCTTTTTTAGGTGCAGTGAGGACCCTGGAAGACAGAGATCCTAGAAAAAGCAGAGGGAGAAGAGGAAGAGAACACAGAGAAACGCCAGGGAACAGAACTCTTGGTCCAGGAGGCATAAACCACAAGTGCAATTAGTCAAAAAAGAACTTGAAATTAAAAAATGACTCTAAGCTAAGGAGGGGAGTGCATAAGTTACCGCCGCCTCAAGACATTTATGAATAATACAAATGCCGCGAGGTGCTGCGCCCAAGCACAGTTAATTAATATGTACAGGAGCAGAGATGCACTTGAAAAACAATAGTCCTGTTTCCCCCTCGCTAGAAGTAAAAATATTTCCAGAAAGACTGACACGTTTATTATTTTCTAACATAATTACCGTATTGTGGAGCATTTGTAATGGAACACATTAGCAACGCTAAGCACCTGCCTGGCTTCTCTTAATGCAGTTTGGTTCGGTGGTGCTGGGCACTGGAGGTGGGAGGAGGCTGGCAGGGTGGCCATGGTGGTGGGGGAGTCTCAGGAGAGCTGCGCGCACACACATACTTGATGCCCTTTCTCTCTCCTTCCCCCACCCGCTTTTGTTAAACCAAGCCAACATCCTCCCTCCTCCTCCTTCTGTTCCCTCCCCTGCCTAACTTACTGCCACCCACTTTTAGGGACCTCTGGTGACAGCCTGAGGGGCAAAGCCGAGAGATTCGGGGTGCCCCGATGACTACTGAGAGGAAATGTCTGCAGAAGGAGGAGAAGCAGAAGCCACCCTGTGCTAGAGGAGGGAGGAGAGATGAGCAGGGACAGGCACAGGGCTTAAACATTCACCCCAAGACCCAGAACAGCCCAGTAGGGAGAGACCTCAGCCTTTCTGCTACCCTTATTTCACGAGGAAGTAGGGTGAGAGTATGGGCATGGGAGGCTGGGACCCTGGGTTCTAGTCCTCACTCTTCTAGCCCAAAGGCCAACAGTCACTTTGTCTCTGAATCTCCATGTCCTCGCCTGTAGAAGGGCACCAGTGGAGGACATCTGGGTTGGCTCACCTCCAATTTTCCTGCAGCCCAATGTTCCAGGACAGAGCATGTCAGCCACTCAGCCAAGAGGTGAGCCTTGTCATCCCATCCAGCCCTTTTCCTCCACAGTTAAGAATGCCTCACCCAACAGATAGATGACCAATGTACTCTTTGCTGGGAGAGAAATGCCTGCCTTCTCTCTTCCACTCCCATTGGCTCCCTGCCATGCCCAGCATCCCTGCTCCTCCCATCACCACACACATAATGGAACCCAGAAGGCGGGCGCCCATGCTGCCATGTGCACAGCGTGCCATCCCTGGCCACACCCACTTGGCCCCACTCCATCCTTGGCACCCGCCACTCCTCAGGCTCTTCCTCTTGCTCCTCTCCCTCTCTCCACCCTTAAACACTAGCCCCCTCCAGCATTTTGCCCTTGGCCCTCTGCTCTTCCCATTTTCTGGGGCCTCCTATGGTTTGATTGCCCAGATAAATTTTATATCTGTCTTTAAAGCCCAGCCCTTGCTTCTGAGCTCCAGAATTTGTAAATACAGCTGCCAGTGGGACATCTTTATCTACTTAAGAATCACTGCACCCAAATGGAGCCCTTTATCTTCCCCACTAAACCTGCTTCTTCTATTTCGTATTTCAGGGACTGGCATTCCCCGACTCTCATAATTCAGAAATCCAAGAGACTTTCCAGAATTCCTTTTCTCCTTTATATCTCATACTCATCTGGCCACAAAACTGATCTTATGCCCAAAACAGCCCAGGACTGTCTTTTCTGTCTCCACTGACACTGTCTTCCTTTCTTGAGCAGATGTACCCAGTAGTCTTTTGTCTGTACATCCTCCTTACAGAGCTTGCCCAGAGGCTGGCACTTGGGTAAATGGCAGCAAATATTTACTGAATGAATGAGCCCCATCTCATGCCATTCCATTGTTCACATTGCTAGTGGTCCTGCTCCTAAAATCCAGAGATGATTACGTCTTTCTCTTGCTTGAAAACCTCCATAACATGCCATGACTTCCAGGATAAAATTTCGCCCCTCTGCTGTCTAATATTGCATGGCTTGCACAGCCTCCAACACCATCTCCAGCCAGCACCCACAGCAGTACCAGATCCTGTGTGTCTAATCAAGGGCCCCACCTCATGCTTTTGTGCCTTGCATGTGTTGTCCCTTCTGCCTGGAGCATCATTCATCCACCATCTGCTCAACCTCTATTATACCCTAAGAATCACTATCTGGTGATCTACCACTATATAATGAATAACCCCAAACTTAGTGGCTTAAAACAACAATCATTTTGTGACTGTATCTTACAGTTCTGGGCTTGACTGGGCTCAGTTCTTGTTCATGGTCTCTCACATGGTTGCAGTCACACAGTGGCTGGGCTGGAGTCATCTTGAAGACTTTCTCACTCGCATGTCTTACTGGGTCAGTTGGCACCTCCTACACACAGCCTCTTCATGTGGCTTGGGCTTCCTCCCAACATGGTGGCCATATTGTTAGAACAAGCATACCAAGAGAGAAAGATCAGCAGAAGCTTCCTGACCCTTTCTAGCCTAACCTTGGAAGTCCTGCAGCATCACTTCTGCTACATCTACTCATCAAGATTGTCACAAGGGCCTGCCCAGGTTCAAAAGCAGGGGACACTTCACTTCTTGATGTGGGAGTAGCAAGGTTCTGAAGAGAGTGTGTGGGATGGAAACATTGTTGTGGCCAGTGAGGGAAAATACAATCTGCCACAAGACAGCCCCTCTTCCAGGAAGTCCTTGGATGGCCCTCTCCCTACTCCAGGCTAGTCCTGTGCCTCCTACTAGTATTCCTCACCATATGTGCTGTCATTATTTATTTTTCAGTTTGGTTCATTGAGGGCATGGTCTATCTTTTTTACTTATCTCTGTGCTTGGCACATAGTTGGTTCTCATCAATTGCTTGCAAATGAATGATTGAGGAAGTGAAAAGCTGAGTGTGACCTGCCAACACATAGCAACAAGTGTTCTTTCCAGGACAGGCCAATGACTTCCCAGGATGGCCACCACTCAGGCAACGGTGGGCAGAAGCCCTGGATGAACCTACTCTTCATTCACAACATACTTGGCCCTTGCTTCTGCCATTCGGGTCACCTCTCCCACGTAAGGTTTGTTACCTGCCCGCAGATGTACACAGCTGCAGCCCTTTGATTCTCCCCAATACCACCTCCACCTTCATGCTCCTGTTTTGAAATTTCCAGCATGGAATGAAAGGTGGCTCCATGAAAGAAGGAAGAGTGTGGGAAAGTCTGTAGGGTTGGTGGGAGTCAGAAGGGAAAGGAAACCCCTTTCCTTCTCCCTCCCATCCCCCATTGGAGCCATGGAGTGCAGAAATATTCCTTCTCATTTCCCAGCACCATTCCCCAGCTGCCTGGCCCGGATTGCTGGGCCTTTGGAGCAATTGTTTGCCAAGCCATTCAGCGGGCAGCTCCCTCGTGGGCACCCAGTCCTGCTGCCTGACAGGCTGTGTGCAAGGGGACAGGCCTGAATGACTGTAATATGAACCATGAAAGTGGATATTAAAGGCTTTATTACAGGGTGAGGACTGCTAATTGCAACGTTCCTTTCAGGAAGCTGGAGCTGATGAGTTTAAGCAGCGGCACCCAATTATTATAACTCTGTCAGCGCAGAGCAGGGGAGAGGCGGAGGAGGGGAGGAGGCAGGCTGAAGGCACAATTACCTGAACTTAATCCAAGGCACACACCACCGGCCTGGAATGTTAAAGGGATATTGGTTCTGCTCCGAGCTTCCTCCCTGTCACAGCCATGTTGTTGTTGATTACTGATCCCCTAGCCCTTCTCTCCTGCCCTGCAGTCGTCTTGTGGAAGAGGTAGCACTTGTATACATCAAATGACACCCAAGCCCTCCCTGGTCTCTGCCGGTGACACAGCCCCCATGCTGAGACCTAAGGTCTTCCAGAGCACCTTGAAATCAAGCTGCCGAGACTTTTTTTTTGGGGGGGTGGGGGGGACAAAGTCTCATTGTGTCACCAGGCTGGAGTGCAGTGGCACTATCTTGGCTCACTGTAACCTCCGCCTCCTGGATTCAAGTGATTCTCCTGTCTCAGCTTCTCGAGTAGCTAGGGTTATGGGCATGGCCACCATGTCCAGCTAAGTTTTGTATTTTTAGTGGAGACGGGGTTTCACCATGTTGGCCAGGATGGTCTTGATCTCCTGACCTCGTGATCCACCTGCCTTGGCCTCCCAAAGTGCTGGGATTATAGGCATGAGCCACCATGCCGGCCCAGACTTCCGTTCTTTAAATGGGCAAGTAGACTCAGGGAAGACAGGAAGTTGCCCAGGTTACCCAGCTCTTAAGCAACAAAGCAGGAAGTAACCAGAGGCTCCTTAAAATTCATCCCCAGGTATAGGTATTGCCTTCCATGTGCATGGGCTGAGTATTCTGATGTGCTACTCCAGGAGGAAAACGCAGCCCTTGCTGGGGAGACGACTTGTAAATAGCATCATCATTCAAACTCATCATTACCATGCTCCAGGAGTATTCGGTACTTGACATTTCACAAAGCGCTTTCAGACATTTGTGTGTTCCAGTGTTGTTGAGCACCTACTGGGTGCCAGGTGCTGGAGATGACAGATGATGTCTCTGTCTGCGAGGAGCCCACAGCTTACTGGGAAGACACACAAGCCAACCGACAATTATAATACCGAGTCGAAAGTGCTAGAGAGGTGTGCCCACACACATTACCTCCTTTAATTTAATCACATAAATTTAAGTGATTGCACATAAAAAGCTAATACTACAAGGTGCGGTCTGCTCAGTGCCAGTTGAGCAGCACAGATAGCAAAAATAGAGTAGTTCCCTGGTGGGAGAGCTTACTATTGCACACAGTGGTCCCCATCCTTTTTGGCACCAGGGACCGGTTTCATGGAAGACAATTTTTCCACGGACCGGAGGGGGAAATGGGGATGGTTTGGGATGATTCAAGCTCATTACGTTTATCATGAGATTCCTATAAGGAGCTTGAAAACTAGATCCTCCCCATGCACAGTTCACAGTAGGGTTTGTGCTCCTATGAGAATCTAATGCCGCTGCTGATATGACGGGAGCTGGAGCTCAGGAGGTCATGCTCACTCACCCACCACCCATCTCCTGCTGTGTGGGCTTGGTTCCTAACAGGCCATGGACCACCGGGGACCCCTGTTCTTTAGCACCATAGGATGACTGTAGTTAACAATAATGTGTTATATAATTTCAAATAGCTAGAAGGAGA